GGGTGTTTCTCAGTGATTCTGTTTTCGAAGTCTCTTAGAATCAATTTTGTTAATTCGTCTGAATCAGTCTTCTTCACTTTGGCCCTTCGGGATTGTCAAGTCATGAATCACGTCGGAGTGAAACATGCGGATGATTTCCTTTGTCTAATTCCCCAGTTTTTTACGAGAGCTCAAATTTTGGTGTCTAAGTTTCTGGCTAATTTGAGAAATTATGGTTTAATCATTTGCTTTGAGGATTTTCCGGTAAACATCTTGTTTTCAATGAATCAATATTTATTAGTATTCCAATTATTTACGCTCTCAATATACTTCTCCGAAGATGGTAGTTTATTTGAGTACACCAACGTTAGAATTGAATGCTTGTCAGGGCATTAGATATACTGAATTGCTCATTTGAACTTTAACAATCCCTGATATTGACATCACAATAAAATAGATCTCAGTTTAGAGATACGACGAACTGTGACATCTTATCGAACTATTTACTATATACAAGCCATTTATATGCATGTGAAAGAATATAAAGGTAATGATGAAGATAGTGGACATAAATGACGGCAGGCTTTTGCCCCAAAAAATTGGAATCGAGAAGAATGTATTCGGAAGAGGCATTTGATTCTTGAACATTATGTGGACGGAGTGCTCTAGCAAGGTAATGTTCCTTCCATTCAATGGAGGGGCCAGAATTTTGGCCAAGTAAGGGTAAAACTCCCATTGCTCTACCTCCTCATCGAAAATAATCTAGCAGGCTAAAGAAACTTAGGAGAGAAACACACAAAGCAACTACGTCGATTTTTTTGAAAAAAGAATTAGGATTTCGAGTAAGAAGCACTAAAATCAACTCACAGAGAAAGAATCTTCTTGTTGGGTTTGAATTGGCCTAGGAAGTCTTCACTTCCGTGCATTTTCAATTGGCATACCATCCAATCCATTTTTTGCTATCAAACACGAGGTGTGGAGAAGGAAGACAATGCCTAGGAAATAAATAAACAACACAATTACTATCGAGAGGTGATTTACTTCAATAAAAAATACACAGAAGGTGATCGGCATCAACGATCTCATTGTTTGTGGGAAATTGAATATCACGACTATAATCATGAAGAAAGGAGGAGGGAAGATTTAAGTGGACTAACTCTTTTACCATTTCTCAATACCGTCGAGCAAATTAAAAAAATTACATGGACTGTACGTGGAAGAGAGAGTAAAAAATCTAACATAATCTGTCAACATGGACGAATTTTGCCAGTTTTTGATAGAAATTGTGCCAATAAAATGGTTAGGGGAATATTTATTAATTTCCTGAAAAGTTGGGGACTAAATGTGCAAAACGCCTTTTTTTTTAATTTCACTTGCACTTGTTGTACTGAATGCACATGGTGTAACGGGATTTATCCAGAACAGCAGAAGAAACGGAGAAATAATATATAAAGCAAAAAACCAACGGTGTTGATAAATCAAACCCTATTCCCAATCTCTCATCTCAGTCGTCTCCTTTCGCCCCCATTTCTCCACCCTCCGATCTCCCAAATTTCCTCTGCTCTCGCGCCCAAATACAAATTCGGTAATCTCCCTCCCTTTCTTTCTCCACTTTTTCTTTCTATATCTATAATTTTATACAAAACCCTTTTGTATCTATAGTTTTGAATATATATATGGTTACTCACTCTCTGACGGGTTTTTTGATTTTGGTAGAATGGCTGATGGACGGGCAGGTGGCTCGTTTGGAGTTCCGGGAAGCCCTGGCGGCGGTGGCGGCAGCCACGACAGCGGGGGCGATCAGAGCCCTCGATCGGGTGTCAGGGAGCAGGACAGATTTCTTCCGATTGCGAACATCAGTAGGATCATGAAGAAGGCGCTCCCGGCCAACGGAAAGATTGCTAAGGACGCTAAAGAAACCGTCCAAGAATGCGTCTCTGAGTTCATCAGTTTCATCACCAGCGAGTATGGCGTTATTTCAATAATATAGATTGTGTGTACGAAGATGTCAAATTGATTGAATTTGCTTGTGGATTGAAAAAGGTCGTTTTTATGTTCTTTTTAATTCTATACAAAGACTGTATTTTTAAAAAAAATTCCGGAACCTCAAACTTATATATTTCTTAATGTGATTGATGTGAAGGTGCTAAGATCAGTTATACAGATAAATAAACACGTTCACATTCACATTCACATTCACAATTACCTCTTTATACTCCTCTTATGTTACACGCAAACATGTTATCTCGTGTATCTAATGTATAGGTTCCTTTTATGGATTTGGTTGCTTTAATCTGTTTGCATTAGGAACATAATTAAGTCTCTTTTTTTGAATGTTTGGACATATCATATGTATTTGGATGCAAATATATTAAGGCAAGTTGTGCACTTGATGTTGTTGAGATCTGTAACTGAAAATGTTATGGTGGTTGAAATGTCAAGGGCGAGTGACAAGTGTCAGAAAGAGAAAAGAAAGACTATTAATGGGGATGATTTGCTGTGGGCTATGGCAACTTTGGGATTTGAAGATTACATTGACCCATTAAAGGTGTATCTGGCTAGGTACAGAGAGGTATTTTCTTCCCCACATCGAATTTTTTGAACTTCTCTAGGCTTTGGATTTTTTCTGGTGGCCAAAATGAAATATTGTGCTGTCATGAATTGATACGTGTTTTTTGTTCTATGGTTTTATGGTTCTTTCCCCCTGGATTGCTCTTGGCCACAGTTGGAGGTGAGTGTATGCATACTAAATTCAGTTCACGCGATTTTTTTGTCGTTTTGTTTAATTTGACAACATACTGTGCCTCATTTTTTTTGACAGGGTGATACCAAAGGATCAGGGAAGGGTGCAGATGGATCTGCTAGAAAGGATGCACTAGTACCTAATCCTGGTTCTCAGGTATTTTGTCAGATCTTTGTCGTTTGAATTTTTTTTATTAACTTAATGTTTGAAACGTTTAGGTATGTTAATTTGTGGACATTCTGAACAGGTGCAGCTTGCTCACCAGGTTTCATTCACACAAGGCATGAATTATTGAAGCTCTCAGGTTCATGACCTTGTCCTTTTGTGCAGCACTCCAGTATGCTGCACATCTCTCTCTCTCTCTCTCTCTCTACAGTGTCGTACGCCCGTATGTTTATTAATGTCTCCTTACACGTACCCCTTCCATAACTCTGTTGAAACATCCATTTTTATACGACTTAGTTGCATGTGTTTTGATATCAAGTGGCAAGAAAAATCAATGGGCCAAAACCATGATATGGATGAGGAGGGCAGCACTTGAACCATATCTACGAGGAAAATAAGTTTTAACATTTTCAAATGTCCATATAATCTGTCTGTAATGGGGGAGTGAAATGTCATTTCAGATTTACACAGGAATTTCTTGCATTTATGGGCACTGTCTTTTCTCGTTGTACCTCCTTGGTCTCCTGCTGGTGGTGGTCTTCCAAAAAAAATTTAACTGCGAGATTTTTGTCACTGTAAGTTGACCTCTAGTTTACCTATTTTTTAAAGAGATGTACGCGTTTAAAATTCCCGATTGAGGCCCAACTTAGAGCGCAAGGCGAACCAAAAATGCCTCAAGGTGCTGATTGTGAAGCGTGTTTTGGAGGTGCACACCTCAGTTGAGTGATACATATTCCTCAAGGCTTGTAAGGCGCAGTCCTTGATTCCCCAAACATATTTATTTTGCTCTAGTTGTAGGCCACATAATATTAAAAATTCTGATTCACCACTCACATACATGTAGTTCTGAGTGTTGGAGGGTTTAATATTACATCCTGCTTGTTGGAAGAAACTGAAGTACTGGCATTTTAATTCTCTTCATTTGTTAAGTCCTCTAGTGTGATGGTTGTTGAAAATGTTTTTTAATTCCATTCACAAATTTTCTTATCATTCAAAAATCAAACTTAAAAATGAAGAAAACCTGTCGGGAAACTGCCGGCACTTCAATTTTGAATTTCACTATCTGTCGTGATTGACTAATTACAGTATAAGCCACTGTTTGTTTAGCATTAATTCCTCAGATTTAGAAAAATTCCAACCGTTGCAATTCAAATTCAGCCACCATTTTGGACCATTTATCTCACAGCTGGGACCCACATTTGAAACTAACGGTGCTTTTTTTTCTACTTTCCAGCTGTTTAATGCTAAACAAACAAGTTGTAAAACTAAGTTAATTGGTTCGGTCAGATCCTAAGAATTTCTAAGCTTGTAAGAGAGGTGCGAGCCTATAGCTTGCAATTGGAGAGTATATACTTCAATAGAATTTCGGTACTCATTGCTGGGTGAACTGCAAGGATTTTGTGGGGACAAGGATTTGTAAATGGGTGGTTACAAAAAATTTTATTTAATACACCACATTTTAATTGCAGAGTTCTTTAATCTTTGCTCATTGTAGCAATTATTTCCTAAACATTTTTTGTCTAATTCTTATCTACCTTCTATTAATTAATACGTCTCGTCCTTGATGATGATTTACATCAAAATATTTTGTTTTCATGCTTTGAAATGAGGGAAAAATATTTTTTCGCACTTTTCATTTATTTATATTTTTAAAAATATAATGAGCAAATAAGTTGTTTAACCAATTTCAACGGATTTTTGGTAAAACTATTATGAGATACGAAGTGTGTTAACTAATGGAAAGATTGAGGATAAGAATAATATTAAAAATCGTTATGGACATAAGCGCTATAATGAGCAAAGATTAAAAACCTTAAATGCCATTAAATATGGTGCAAGAAATAAAAATTGTTGTGTGAGTATAACTACCCTTTGTAAATATTATATCACATTGTAGGATTTAATTGATTTTATAATTTCTAGGTGTTTGGGCTTCTTTCAGTGAATATGAGGTCATGTCTTAGAATTTTTGTATTTAGGACCTTGCCTTATAATTTGCTGTTTATGACCTTACTTCTGCTAGCTGAACGAAAAGTAATGGTGTTTTGCAACTTCTAAAATGTATGGGTTGGTTGTATTAGCAGGGCACCACTATAACCTATATTGTGAACTTCTATGATTGGTTCAACACTTTTGAAAGTGAAAAGAGGTTCATTGTATAAATCTACCCCTTCTACCCTTTGAAATTTGATAATCACACTGTACTTGGAGGGAATACCAATATGAATGCTCCATTTGTGACCTACAAATGTGAAGGTATTATTGACTAGTGGAGACTGGAGTTTTTGAAGTGGATTGATGAGTATAAAGGCGTGGGAATTTAAGTCATTTAGAAGTAATTCTTCCCATCCAAAGAAAACCTTTTAGAAGGTTCCACACATTTATATGCTACTCAGCCCACTTGAATCTCAATGCCCTTGTTATTTAAAGAATGCACTCTCATGGCATATGTTTTGAATGGTGCACTAGATTTTGGTATCTATTTACTATTTGTTGTTTGGTGAGTAGGTGTATCAAAGTGCTATATACTCTCGATGCTAATTATCTAGTAGCTTCTATTTGATGGCATTGTCAAACTGAGTGCATATCATTATCACTTTAATGCTCTTGGAGTAAAAGGAATTTTTATTTGGAGTTGTTTGATTTGATTTTTAGTTTTTCTCTCCCTGGAATTTGTAGTCACAAGCTCAAACTATGATGGTCCTCCCAATGCAGGGCACAGATTAGAACTGGAGTATACGCGGCCAAGGTCACCATTTCCTCCTGCTTGAGTAGATCGTCAAAGTTCAGGACGCATTTTATATATCATATAGAAATGTGTGTGCGTGTGTTTATCCTTGTGCTGTAAGCTATTTCGCATGGTAGATTTATGCGCTCTTCGTATTCTAGTTGTTCGGGTGTGTTTCTCGAGTAGTAATTTAAAGTAAGATTGCAAATTATTGATGTTGGTTTGGGATTTATTATTATTCTTGCTAGTGGCAAATTAAACTGTCTAAGAGGTATAATTTATTTTCTGCTCGTATTTTGTTTCATAATTGCTCTTGAGCGAGTCAATCTTTCTTTCCTTTTGCATCTAGCTAGATAGAGTTTCCCAGCTTTGAACCTAAGAAAAGTTGACAATTTGTCATCATGAACAACTGAATACTGATGCAACCTATTCAAACGAGGATTAGAACTCAAATTCCCATTCTCCAAGGTAAATCTCGTGAGGTTTTATTTTGTTTACAAGTTTGATATCGTTCATGGAAATCGATCATTTGTTTAACCATATCATCGACTTCTACGTCAACTCGATAGGAGGAAAATGGTGAACAGAATCCGAGATGATCAAACCCAATACGAGGAAATCTTGTCAAATTTGTGTGAGGCGGACGATTGCTGTCAATTGGCCTGCTTTACTGAGCTTTGTGAATTGTCTAGTTTAATGGCGGGGAATCCCTTTCTCCCGTACTTGTGAAATTGACAAGGCACGAGAGAAATCCCGATATAGTGCTTTAAGCATGGAGAGCGATAATGTGTGTGATGTTAATTCCGGTACTCTAGTTTTTCTCGTTAAGACATGATTTTACTCGTGTTTTTACTCTATATTAAAAGCACGATGTTAGATAGTCAATGACATAAATTTAAAAATAAGTAAAGATGTGTGGTAGATAAAGCTGAAACTCTAAAATTGATTACCGATGGTTAAAAAAAGGATAAAATAAGTGGCATTCTTTTTTTTCCAATTACTATTCCAAAAACCCTCAAAGAATGCCGAAAGGCATCACCTAAAGTAATTAGATTTCAATGTCGCTCAAATTTGATTCAAACTTTATTGCATTATCCTATATTAAAAGCATGGTGTCAAATAGAGTCATTGGCATAAACTAAAATATAGAGCAATTGACATAAATTCAAAAATAAAAGATAATCCTTATATTTTCAAAGTCCTCTTAATATATATGTTTGTATTTACTATATGATGATGATAAACTCGATCTCGACCTTGACCCAGTCTTTCCGGCCTCCAGTCCACAGTTAAGGTCGGGGTTTAGGGTCGGGTCCATACTGCTTGACCCATTGGGCCCGACCTCATTCCATTATTACTGGATGATAACTTTCAGGTCGAGCATTATAGATCGGGCCTATAATCATGCGCAACCTCATCTTTTAACTCACGTGTTCTCACGTGCCCCTAGAATACTAGTTCAATTCAAACATTGACTCTCCAGTTGCCTTAAGTTTCACCCTAACTCAGTTAATACAATCCTAGCACAACACAAACACCTCACATACGGGAATATTAGTCCGTCTAGGACTCGGCTACCAACCTCTTTAAATATGTATCCTCCTTCTCATTATTCAAGTACGCGTTTCAATAATATTCCAGCATATATTTTGTAATCCCTCTTTCAAACTTAAGCATCGGATAAGCGACGATGACACGCCTCGACGCTTTTGTTTCGGGTATTGAAAATCATAGCGTGCAGAGATCAACCATCATGTCCAAGTAATCCAGGTACGAATTTTGGTAGTATCACTATATATGTATGTATTTGCTATAATGATATCTCTTCCATTGTTTGTTTTGACTTTAGTTGAATAAGATGTTTTATGAATATTTGAGTTTTGGCTAAATGTAAAATTTTAAAAAAATATAAAATGTGGAAAAGCGTTTAATGAAGAAAATATTAGTGAATTAATTTAGCCCTTGTTTGCCCCCCATTATATCTCATTACATTATATTAAATTTTTCTTTCTCTTCATCTCAACCATACATTCATCAAATAAAATAATAATACACACAAATCTAAAACTTTTCAACCACACATCTCCCATCAATCACTATTCTAAAAATTTTCAACCCCTTAAAAATCTACAATAATGGGGGCCAAACTGGGGCTTAGAGTGAGATTTATTTGGTTTTATTCTTATCTATTTAATTGAATTTATATAGGGTTAAAGATACAATTTACAAATTTTTAAAAGGTGTATATATAAATGTAAAAGTATAGTGAATGGAAATAGCAATTTCCTATAATAACTCAGTAATTTATAATGAAAGCTCTCGCCTGCTTTTATTTCTATATAGAGTGTGTTTGATAGGGATTTTTGGGAGAAGAATTGATTTTTGAATAGTGATATGATTGGAAATCTGTGGTTTTAAAAAAAAAAGAAAAAAGTATTGATGTGATGGAAGATATTATTTTATTGAAGAATGTATGGTTGAAAATGAGAATTGATTTACTGTAGAAAATGAGAATCTGTACCAAACATGCCCATAGTTTAATTTAGCTCATGTTCGAGTCCCATTTTCTAAAAATTCAGAGTGCATTTAATTTGCTGTTTTTAGTTTTGCAAAACACTGAAAACGTGTTTGATTTGGTATTTTTCAAATGACTTTTTGAAAACAAAGTTAAATTTATAATATAAGAGTGTGTTTGAAACACATCTTTTTGAAAGAATATATTATTAAATAATATATTGATAGAGAATGTGATAGTTGAATAAGATGTTTTATGAATGTTTGAGTTTTGGCTAAATGTAAAATCTAAAAAAATATAAAATGTGCAAAAGCATTTAATGAAGAAAATATTAGTGAATTAATTTAGAGTGAGATTTATTTGGTTTTATTCTTATCTATTTAATTAAATTTATATAGATACAATTTACAAATTTTTAAAAGGTGTATATATAAATGTAAAAGTATAGTGAATGGAAATAGCAATTTCCTATAATAACTCAGTAATTTATAATGAAAGCTCTCGCCCGCTTTTATTTCTATATAGTTTAATTTAGCTCATGTTCGAGCCCCATTTTCTAAAAATTCAGAGTGCATTTAATTTGCAGTTTTTAGTTTTGAAAAACACTGAAAACGTGTTTGATTTGGTATTTTTCAAATGACTTTTTGAAAACAACATTAAATTTATAATATAAAACTCAAAAACACATCTCGAAACACTCAAAACATGGAAAAGAAGCAAAATAAAGTTAAAATATAAGAAAATAAAAATATAAAATTCTAACAAATAAAAATTAAAAAAATCAAAAAAATAAAATCAAAAACTTATAAAAATATAAAAAAAATAATTATGAAAAAATAAATTTATAAAAATTTCTAGACAAGTAAAAATAGTTTAATCTCTTAATAAACATAGATAAAAACATTCTCATTCTACATCATTAATTTGTATTTTTATTTTCTATATTTTGAACATAATTTATTACATTTTGTTTTCATTTTACATTTTTACAGAAAAAATATTGTAAGATTCGTCAACTTTAAAATGTATATATTACTTGATATAAAATTATAGTATTTTTATTGAAAAACCAAATTTCATGACATAAAATGTTATAAAACAATTTTTCATAATTTCAAACAAAATATGTTTTCTAATTTTTTATTTTGAGAGATAATTTTTTAAAATGATAAATCAAACGTGTATTTAGTAATTTTAAAATAAACACCGAAAACAGAACAAAGAAAACAGAAAATGAATTCAAAATTGAAATTTGAAAACTGAAATACAAACCAAACGGGCCCTTATTTTTCGTCAAACTCATTTTCAACTATATATTCTTCAAATAAAGTAATTTTGCACTTAAATTCAAATTATTATTATTTTTTTACTTTTTAACTATATATTTTCCAAAAAATTACTCTATAAAACTCTTTTTTAACAAAAACAATGTGTGTGTGTATTCATTACGAAAGCGAGTTTCGAACAATAAAAGTCAAATCATATTTTTGATTGAAACTACTCAATTGATCTCAAACTACTCAACTAATGTCAACATAGTGCATGCCTATACCCTCTTTTTGTACTTCAATCTCAATTGATAAATTAAAAAATACTTTAAGATCAGGATTACGTCACTTTGTCAAAAAGTAGTTGATAGATGAAGTGACATAATGTTAGTTGGTAAGATGTGATTGAATAAAAAAATCGATCGTATTTAAAACAAACCATTAATAAAGAGTTATGTGTTGTTATGTCAATCGTTATGTCACTGTAGCATTATAAAGAAAATCTCATTTAAGTTATTAATTAACATGTTAATCTATATCTAAATCAGGCCATTTACAGTCGACACGTCACCATCAGGCAACATCTCGCTTGCACGTGCCGCTTAAATTTATGTTTCCTGCTTCATAGATCACACGTCAATGCCTCGTACGGAATAATTCTCGCTAAAACAATTAAGGAACAGGAGAAAAGGGCGAAGAATTCTTAAAAAATTGAAGATCGACAGAATTTCTATCAATTCAGGTGACTCTCTTTCTCTTTTTCTCTCAATTTTTCGTATATGCGTGTATATGAATTTGGTGCGTTGCGTTCGCTGTCTTTGATTTTATGAATGTTATCATTCATGCATGATTTGTGTCGGTATCAGCGTATGTGTTTATAGTTTAATTAATGTCTGAAAATTGGACCTAAATTTTGACGCTTTTAGGGTGGAGGAAGACGAGGCGGCAGGTGGTGGTACGGAATATAAAACCCTAATGGAAAATTCTAGGGATCCAGGCAGCGGGTATTCAGTTGATGGGGTTAGGGTTTTGGAGGAGGCCAAGGGTTTAGTCGAGGGAATGCAAATGTTGGATGTAAAAGAAGGGGGTGATGGTAAAATGGATGATAAGGTCAGTGAAGTTTCTCTGAAATTGAATGTGGATGCGAATGGGGAGAGGGTTAAGGGAGCTTATTGGAAATCTAGGGTTGAGGAAAGGATGACTGGGCAGGATGCACGGGGCTCTTGGGGAGTTATGGAGTTGGTTGGAAGAGTGCTTCATGGTAATTTTGGAATGGAAAAAGAAGAGCGAGATTTTAAGCATTTTGAAGACGAGACTAGTAGCACATGTCCTGTGAATTTGAATGTAACGCGCGGTGCGATTGGGGAGGCTGTATCTGGAAATGAATTTGTCAATATAGGAACTGACGTTGATAAGATATTGGACGAGCAGAAGTTGGATTTGCACAGAGAAGGAGCTGGTCTAAGCGGGGATGCTGTATCTGGAAATGAAATTGGCATTGAAGGAACTGGGGCTGACAAGATATTGGACGAACGTAATTTAGATTTACATGGTGAAGGAGCTGGGTTAAATGGAAAACAAAATGCGGTTATTATTGAACAGGTGCCGGATGAAAATTCTAGAAATACCGAGTTATATATTGATAAACCTGGTTTCCTGGTACCAAACAAAAGTGGAGAAGGAGATGCTCTTAATGAAAAACAAAATGTGGTTATTAATGAACAAGTGCCAGATGTAATTTCTAGAAATGCTGTGGGAGACGAAGAGAAGGCTGGTTTACTGATTCCAAAAACACATGGAGAAGGATCCGGTCTAAATGGAAAAGAAAACTTGGTGGTTAACGAACATGTGCCAGATGTAAATTATAGAAATGCTGAGGAATATAATGGAAATCCAGGTTTGCTGATGCCAAAAACACGTGGAGAAGAGTGCATAACAGAAAATGAAGGAGAATACTGCGTGTCAGATCTAGTATGGGGCAAAGTAAGGAGCCACCCCTGGTGGCCTGGGCAGGTATTTGAACCTTCGGCTGCATCAGAGAATGCGACTAAATATTTTAAGAGAGACAGTTACTTGCTAGCATATTATGGGGACCAGACATTTGCATGGAACGAGGTATCAAAGATAAAGCCATTTCGTATGCACTTCTCTCAAATGGAGAAACAGAGCAATTCCATAGCATTTTGTCGTGCTGTGGATTGTGCCTTAGATGAAACTGCTAGACGGGTTGAGCTCAGTCTGTCATGTTCATGCTTGCTAGAGGAGGTACATAATAATATAAAGACTCAGGTGGTTGCAAATGCCGGTATCAGGGAAGAATCAAGTAGAAGAGATGAGAGGGACAATTTATCAAGTGCGGCCGCGTTTTTACCCGCAGAACTCGTGAGTTACTTAAACGTATTGGCTGAAGCCCCAAAATGTACAACTGATAAATTGGAATTTGTGATAGCAAAAGCTCAGTTGCTGGCCTTTAATCGATGGAAGGGTCACTATAAGCTTCCTGATCTCCAGGAGTTTGGTGTATTGTTGGAGGACGATTCTCATGTTACCGTTCCCGGCAATGGAAGGGATTCTCCTGAGGTGATGGAGGGAGCGCTTCTAGGTTCCGAGGTTGCTCATCAATCTAAAAAGAGAAAGTCAATTCCTCAAGATGGTTCTTCTCGGAAGCGCAAGCACCGCTCGAGTGACAATGAATGGTCCTTGAGCAGCTCAGGATTACCAACTGGTGAGAAGAAGTCTGGAAGGAAGACTAGCAAGGAGATGGCCACTTCTGGTGAAAAATGCAAGCCCATTGATTATATATCAAGTGATTCTAATATGGAAGGAAAGAAGAGACTTTTGCCACGCAACGATAAAAAAATTTCGCAGCCTAATTCGTATCTTAGAGTTGGAGAACGCTTATGTAGGGCTCTAAAGTCTGGTGATGGAAGTTCTACTCAATCTGTTCGTAGAAGTGGTGGAGCACATGCAACTGGTGTTCTTTTGGGTTTGACCCCAGGTTCAGGGAAATCTCAAAGCGAGAAGTTGATTCCAGCAGAGTGCCCTCCTCCACGTGAGATTTTTTCAATGCTATGCATGGCTGCAAAACATCCCATGAAAAAGTCTTGCTTATTGACTTCAGCTGTAAGTCTGTTCTGTGAGTTCCGGAATTCTACTTGTTTGGAAAATGGTAAAGCACGAGATCACGAAAAGAATGCTAAGAAGCACAAGGAGAAACTACCTTCCAACTTGGAGAATGCAGATATATCTGGATTTGCAGGTATAGAAGACTCATATTGGACCGACAGAATCATTCAAAACGACCCTGAGGAGAAGATGATATATGAACCTGAGATACCTACCTGGAAGGTTGCCTCTGCTGCTGAAACTGAAGCTGTTTTTGGTATGAGCGAAATTTCAGAAAATAAACAAGAAAGAGATGCTGTCATTCTGGATTTTGAAACAGACAATTTATCTGGTCCAGTTGATGAAAAATCCCTGAAATATTCTCCAACAGCACTGATCCTCAACTTTACGGATTTAGAATCTATTCCTTCAATAGCAAATCTGAACGGGATATTTAGCCGTTATGGACCTTTGAGCGAGTCAGAGACTGAAGTATTAAGCAAAAGCAAGCGTGTAAAGGTGATCTTCAAGAGTCGAGCCGATGCTGAAGCTGCTTTTAGCAGTACTGGGAAATTTAGAATTTTTGGACCTTCACTTGTCAGTTACAAGCTCAACTATTCCCCTAAACTGCGCAAAGCTCCTACAACTTCAAAGCGAAACAGAAGGCAAACATCAAAGAAAGACAGTGCACTTTAAAAATGGTATAATCAGTAGAGGTATTTCGTTATATTTTGTCATCTTTTAAAATGTAGGTTTTATCAGGTAGAATCTGCTGCTATTGGAATTTGGAATAACGTGCACATAGATGAAAATTAGCGGTCAAACTATTGTTTCATTCAAATATATGCTTAGAGAGTAGACTGAAAGAACGTCAGATGTTTGTCTGATTGTAAAAGCAAAGTATTGGATTTAAATAATTGGGATGTTTTTGGAAATTCATTCTCATTTTCATAATGGATGTTATTTGGGATTGGCATTGGTCCATGTATTAAATTATGTGCTTTTGAATAATTTTTCCATATCTGAAAATATTTAAGACCATTAGTAGACCAGTCGAATTGTGGTTCTAGACGGATCCTCAAGTTTGAATGGTAGAGTTGATTTATTGGACTGCAATGGATGCTAAAAGGGTAAAACTATGGCATAGATGCTATCTGTGGTATATTTTATAAGCAAAATCCTAATTAGTTTATAACATCCCTAATTACTTCACAGTTGGAAGCTGAACAAGGTAAGAATTAAGATTACCATAATGGTTGGGGTTAAATTTTATGGATAATACTTGAAAACAAAAACAGTTTTGTCATTCTTGGAAGCTGAATAAGGTAAGATTATCATTATGATATTACTTTTCTTATTTGTGCAAGATGAAATTGCTCAATAAAATTGCCATGGATAGCTGAATCCCTCGTTTGTTAATGTATTGCCTAATTATCATTTTGGTTAGTGTGGAACTAAGGACACCGGTTCATGTGTTCTTTCCATAGTCATTGATATATGTCATTTCACATGCAACTGCGTGGCATATTGATACTGTACTCCTGAGTAGTTGAGGGTTTTTAGGCCTACTTATCTCAAACTCTTTTTTTGGGTGGGTGGGGTTTTGCATGGTATTGAAAAG